TGACGCCCACTGTTGTGCAAACAGTTATCCTTAAGGGTCCTTGTGCGTTTTCATAATCGCTATTTAATTAGGAAATTTTGAAAAATTTTCATCAGTTTTTTTTCAAATTAAAATTGTGCATAAGTTAACGAGTAATCTTCTAAGTGTTATACCATTTTGGAATCGTTATTAAATGCGCTAACTTTTAAGGTTACTTGCCAAACTCTCGTAGTACATTTTTTTCCAGTACAGCCAGTTAAAGTTGAGCAAAGCTTTACTTTGGAATACTTGTTTGGGAAATAAGTGGCAATTTTTCCTGAACCAGAAAAGTTGGCAGTAAGGTTGAGACACCAGTTTGAAGATGCATTATTCATCATTACATTGTAAAAATAAAATCCAAAAAAAGTTAATATCTGTAGTAACAGGAGTTGACAGACTGCCGTAGGGTGTGAAATTTCTATATCTTTTTCAAAGACCTATAATTTTCAAAACACATACATAAAATTTTTTTAAATATTTTTCTGATAGCTGTTATGACTTTGCCTATCACCCGGTTTCGGCTTGACGTCGACTTCTGAGACACCCTACCCTGTATACTAAGTGATATGGAAAAAAGAGGATTTATTAAAAATAATTCAAGATATCTGTTTATTTAAACTGCGACAGAAGACGGTCATTTTCTCAACCATATCCATTAAGTGGTTTTTATGATATTGTCTATTTTTACAAAAAAAAAGTATGTGCGCTACAGTGGTGTTTTGTAGCTACAATCGGTATTTGATCATCGTTGTGAGGAGCTGATTTTAATCATTTCATTATACCTAGAGAAAAATTTCAACGGCTTAGCGAATAATGGGTTCGTGTGGGACTGATTTGTCCTTCAGAGAAATAGCCGCGATGGCATATAGAATCGAACAGTGGCTTGTTGTCGGGCAGAGAATCAGGAAGGCCGTACATCGCGATTCAGAAGAATGACCCCATACCAAAGTTTTCGCTCTACGGGACCGCTTCTCGTCCACAAGGTCAATTACGTACCAATGGACTGGGGAGCATGGAACAATGCGAACTGTTTATCGCCGGATATCAAGTTTTAGACATCTCACATCGTTCTCAGTTTGTCCTAGCACTCACTCCTTAGGTACTGAAGTAATCGACTGGCTTACTACAGAGAGCGGCTTAACTGGGACCCCTAATAGAATCCTTAGGTTTTTGGCGCTGAATACAGGTTCTATTTGGGAATGAAAAGGCGTGTACACCACACTGTTAGAATTATGAT